GGCGAACATGGCAGCAGGAATAGGAATCTGAGAGCTCATGCCTTCAAATGCTAGCGGGATGCGCAGAGAAAGAACACCAAGTGGGTGAGACTATAAACATTTTCAAAGCCCATCATCAGTGAATTCTTTCAGCAAGGCGCTACTTCCTAGAGGTTCCATGATAGTCCCAAACAGCATCACCAATTAAGGACCAGAGATTCAAGGAGTGAGGGTAGGGGTAGGGGCCTTCTCATTCAAACCACCACGTGGACTCAGAAAATCTGATAAGTCATCTTGAGTATGAAATTGCTCTTAGGGAAGGAGGAGACAGAGGCATAGGAATGACATTTTTTATTAATGAAGATGATACGGAATATTGTATACAAAACTTGTTTTGGCCCATGGGGTTTCTTGGAAAAGAGTCTCATGCAGCACTGGTTGGCTTTGGCTACGTTTTGTCCTTTTGCCTCCATCTCCCTAGTTCTGGAATTACAAACATATACTATCATATCCCATGGAGCCTGCTACCAGTAACTGGCATGTAACTCCAGAAACCTGGCAGCATCCCATGAGATCTGGACAACCACATGCTAGGAAGCCTAAAGAGTTCTCTTCTGATAGAGACAATTTCTGCTGCACATCTCATCGATGCTGAGAGCTGCCCACTGAACAGGGCTTCAGCTGCACCTAGGGCATATCGTGGCACTTTAATAATGGCTCTTAAAAGTGTCTCTTGGCTAGGAGAGCAAAAGGCAAGTAATGCATTATGTTTCTAGTCAGGTTGGGGATGGCCAATGAATGACATTCGCACTTAGGTGTGGTAGCTTCCAACCACTTCCTGTATAGGACACAGGGAGTGGAAGATTTGAACGCAACACTGAAGAAGCAGTCAAGCAATCAATCATGTAATTCTGGGGTTCCCAATAGCTGGTGTGTGTTGAGCATGCTGTCTTGATGTGTGGTGTGTGAATGCCCTGTGAGGTGTGAGAGGAGGTTAGCAAGCTGCAGACACCCAGGGTGCTGGTTTTCTTTCTACCTAGTCCACAAGAGGACAAATTTGATCAGAAAAATTTGGGTCAATTCGTCAGTGATTGGGGTGCACTTTTCCCGGGACTAAAAAGGATCGTGTAATTTATTGGGGCCCCAATGTGGGGAATGAGAGTTGGAGCATGTCACCCAGGCATAATTTTACATATTTTAAAGACTTGTATTATTTCTACATTTATGAGTAGCCCCAGGAAGAGTCCATGAAAAAAAATCAATGTGATCTAATGTATTAAGCAGGAGAACTTAAGATAATAGGGCAATGATTTCATAGAGAGTCAGCTTTTCCAAACAGTGTCTGTAGTTTCCTATCTGTCATCTGTCTGTCTGCTTCTATGTACATATGTATTTATTTATGTATTGTCTGCATATGCATTTTGTCATCTATCTATCTATCTATCTATCTATCTATCTATCTATCTATCTATCTATCTATCTATCATTATCTATCTATGTATCTATCTCTGTATCATCTACCTATCATCATCACCATCTGTCTTTTTTATCATTACATATCTGTCTAGATGGTACTTTAATTGTGAAATAGTTAAAAGATTTTTTAAAAGAATAAAAAATATTCGAGACAGACACAGGATACAGAGAGTACTTTAGCAACCCATATTTTCTTCTAATTTCTTTGCAACATCAATAACAGTTCAGAACTAAGTAGATTGTAAGAAGCAGTTTGAACATGCTGACATTCTGGAACCAGTTCTCTTACTGGCATCTTCTTTCTGAGCCAGAATGCATGACAGTGGCAAAAAGAGCCTATCACCCCAGTAAGTCCCATGGAAACTACAGGCTTCCAGGCACACTCATCTTCCAGCCTGTACCCCTGCCCTTCAACAGCCCACAGGGCCACAGACATGCTGATACACGAGGACATAAAAATACATTAATTATTTCCTTAAGCATCAGAACGGTAGGTGGACATCAACAGAAGACACATGGGATAAACTCAAGAGGGATCATGTGATCTTTCCTAACTGACCTCTAGGGTGGTACTGTCCAGTCAAAATGCATTGAGAATTACATGCATGATTTAAAACATTCTAGCAGATTTTTTTGATTAAAAGTACAACTGGAATTAATTTTTAATAACTGTGTTGAGTGATTATTCCAGAGGCTTACAAACTGATCTTTCCTACTGGAACTGAGTCCCTTGGTGAATAAAGCAAAGGTCCTTAGTCTAGAGTCACATAATTCACTGTGCTCAGCCAAACAGTTTTAAGATGCACTCAAGGCGAGGAGGCAGGCCCTTGCAATCCGTCACTGCGTGTTGTTGAGTTCCACTGCCGATGCAGCACAATGCGCTTAGCCACCATCTTGCTATGAGCACCGGGGTGGACTCCAAATCCGAGCTAAGAATGATTCTGCCATGATCCCCTCTGCACACACTTTTGTGTAAACATGCCTTTTTGGGTAAATTACTACAGTAAGCCTTACTGGATATTGCGGCAACAGCATTCTCTCACCTTGTCAAATGTACCGCCTTCTCACCATGTTCCTAATTGACTGTCATCTTAATCCCAACGTTCTGGGGTTGTCCCATAGTCATTTTGATTTTCAGCTAATAATATGGGACATCTTTTGAATGTACATATTTGTCACTTGTTTGCCTTTAGTAGTAGTATGTTTGTTCAGCTATTTGGCTTTTAAAACTGGACTTGGCTTGGGGCTGGAGAGATGGCTCAGTGGTTAAGAGCTCTGCCCACTTTTCCCAAGGGCCAGAGTTCAGTTCTCAGTGCCAGTGTTGGGTGGCTCACATCTGCAATTCCATGTCTAGAAAGCTCTGATACCCTCTTCCGGCCCTCATGGGAACCTGTGCTCACATGCGCATACATAGACGGGCACATGTATGCACCAGTGAAATTGAAACCAGGCTGTTTGCTTTCTTATTTTAGGCATTCTTTGGAGATGTCATGCAAACTGTCAATCAAGCTGCTTGGTTGAATGTAGTTTCTCCTTATTCATGGTTTTCTCCTTTTCATTTTCTGTGCTTTTGTTTGAAAGCTTCAAGGATTTTTTTTTTTAAAAATTATTTTATGTACATTGGTGTGAAGGAGTCAGATCCCTTAGAACTGGCAATACAGACAGTTGTGAGCTACCATGTGGGTGCTGGGAATTGAACCTAGGTCTTCTGGAAGAGCAGCCAGTGCTCTTAACCATTGAACCATCAGTTCCCACTACAAATACTTAATTATAATAAGGATTACATTTGTTTTTATTTATTATTTACAGATTATGCTGCCTCTGTCTCCTCTATCCCAGGATTAAAGTATGTACTAATGAACAGCATGCCAAGGTGGCACATGCCTTTAATCAGTCACCCATTTAGTTAAAATTTTTCGCTCCATTTTTGGTATGTACTTGGCTAATCTAAGTCCTTTATATACTGCCACAATTTTTAAAATCAGTTTATCAATTTCTGTGGAAGAGCCTCCAATTTGTAGTTTTTTAATATTCACTTATGAAAATAAATAGATTTTGTGTATAATATGTCAACATTGAATTTCTTTATCAACTTGGCATCTGCTTTCAGCCCATAGGTTTGTAATGGTGAGTTTGTGTGTGTGTGTGTGTGTGTGTGTGTGTGTGTTTGTATAAGTGTCTGTGTATGTGCATGCTCATGTGCAGGCATGCACACACTTGCACAAGTGGCTGGTGGCTATCTAGACAATTGCATAGTTCATTCCCCCTGGTGTGAACAAAGAATTGAATGTCTGGGAAGAACAGAAGACCAAGCCACAGAAAAAGGGAACTGTCTTCGTATTAGGGATGAGAGACACCTGAAGCTGTTAGTCTGCTAATCAGACAGTGGCTTGAGTATTCCATAGGGCTCTGGGGTCCTTCCCTTCCCCTGTTGATCCTGTTTAGATGCCCATCCCCAGGTCTTCCTGACATTTTTGATGGCAGTGTCTCTTGGGAACAAGAAGTCTTTGTTTCAGCGAGCTCATGGTTGCTTTCCTTTTCTATCTTTGCCCCTCTAAATCTCATTCAGGCTTTTCTGTGTACACTATGGTTTGTCAGCAAGTGAGAGCATACTTCTGCCCCCTATAAATCATCTTTTAAATATCTGTTTATTTATTCTATGGTCTAGATATGTGTCCTACTTATATATCAGGTGCTCTGGAAGCAGAGCCACATGGTTGTGAGCCAGCATGCAGGTGGTAGAAACTGAACCCAGGGGCTCTGTAAGAGCAGCAAGCACCCCTCAGCATGAGGTGCCACTCCAGCCCCTACATTACCTTTTATTCCCTGTGCTTGTCCTATTGCACTGGACACCAAATCTAACATGCCGCTAGCAAATGATCATTAGGAGATGTGTTTTCATGACTTCCTGTCACAGAGGGAAAGATGTATTCTCTCCCACCATGTATGATCTTAGCTTTGTGGGACTTTTTATGAAGCCAAGAATGTTCTTTTCTGTCCCTGGTTTGCTGAGAACTTTATCCTGAAGTCAGTTTGAATTTTGCAAATATGTCTCTGTATGCAAGTAAAGATAAGTGTTTATAAACTTTTAGTGCAGTGAATTCCACTGATTTTAATATTAATGTAACACTGTCATCTTGATTTGCTGAATTTTGTCATATTTTTATATTCTTATGTATGTACTATGTACCATTTTGTGAATTATTCTGCATGTATCTGTGTATATACTTATAAATGCTTGCGTATGCACATACATTCCCATATGAGCCAATTTGTTAGGATTTTGTTATAGATTTTTAACTCACAGTCTGTGGCTTTATTTTGTTTCTGCATCTTTATGTCTGGTAGTAACAGCAACATTAATTCAACCTCATTATGTTAACTTGAGAGCATTTTTTTGAGCTCTTGGGAAGCTCATGTATGATAGGCTCAGTGTCATCCCTAATGCAGGCTGAAGAGTCAACCTTCTAGACACTTTTCGGCTGTTGTGATAAGACACCACTGCCCAGGCAGCTTAGAAGAGAGTTTATTAGGGCACGTAGTTACAGATGGTGAGTCCATGGCCGTCAGGATGAGGAGCACGGCAGCAGAGGCCTGGCACTGGGCAACGGCTGAGAGCACACAGCTGATCTGTAGGCACAAGGCAGGGGTAGGATGGGGAGATAACATATTGGGAACCGTAGAGACTTTTGAACCCTTCAAGCCCTCCTCAGTTGCACCCTTCCTCTAACAAGGCCACACCTCCTAATCTTTTCCAAACAGTTCCACCAGCTTGGAACCCAGGACTCAGGCATTTGAGTCCCCGGGGCCATTCTCATTCAAACCAGCACAAAGAAGGTTCTATTTAAAATTTAAATTTCTTGTTAGATAAAAAGATTTGTCTGCACATCTCTGTCCCTGTCATCCTTTCATTGTAGTAAAATGTCTGGGGGGTCTGTGTCCAGGTCTTTCCTTTTTCTGACATTGGCGCCTTGTCGTGGAAATTTTCCATGCTTTGGTAGCTTCCTCTTTTCACTGTCCCCTTTATGCCTCCTCTCCACCTTCCTTGTTTTCTTGGTACTTTTCTACTTAGGCACCTTTTTAACGTGGAGTCTTAGAGCACTGGCTTGAACTATTCCTTCTTTTTAAATCTGAACAGTTAATGCTCAACATTTCCTTCCAGAACTTTCTTTTAGCTACATCCTCAAATTATGAATGCATCCTATTGATACTTTCATTTATCTTAAAATTAAAAAAATGCTTTTTGGATCAATGCTAGGCTTGCCTTTTAGCCCATGTTATACTTAGAGCCTTTCTGCTCAATTTTAAATCATTTTGGTGATTAACGTTTTAAATTTCATTGAAAATTTTAATTGCAAAGTAATTATAAAACTTTGAAGACCTATTTTGTGCCCCATAATCTGCTTTCTATTAGTATTTCACAGTACTGGGCAGAGTGTGTGCTCTGTTGGGGAGTGAAATGCTGACGGTTTTCCATGAAGTCAACAAACTGTAGGGTTTTCATGCCCGTTATCGATTTATCAACTTCTAGCTCTTTTGTGTATTATTGATGCATACTTGCTAAATATTTCATTATCATCATCACAGATTTGTTTTTTCTAATTTCAATTCTATGAGATTTTAGTTTTTTGAAGGTGAACATAGGATAGGAAACAAATCTAAAGCTCAGTAAGTACCTGTGGTTGAGTTAGACATTATGGATGCTGTGAGATGTAAGGCAGTCTTTGTCCCCTTGGGGCTAATGTTCTGACACAACCATGTGATGTCAGGAGATCTAACCTAACCTACAAAGGCATATATAAAGAGTCCTCTGCTCTGATTTACTTTTCATACAAAAATAGCTAAAGCCAAATGTATTGTTCCCCTCCCCCACCCCCAGTGGATTACCACAGGTTAATGGATTAAAGTGTTACTGAGGTGTGACGCTCTGGAGTCTCTGTGTCTCAGGAGTCCTGATGTGGCTTCACTTGGTCCTTGACAAGAACACAATCTAGGTGTGAGGGTCTGGATTCTCACCTGGGGCAGTGTCTGCTTCCGTTCTCACTCAGGGTGTTGGCAAAATTCGTTCTGAAGCTGCTGCAGGATTACAAGAGCTCTCGTCCCACAACCTGCAAGGAGAGCAAGACCATAGCATATGTGGACTCCACACCAAGGCCTTAGAGGTGATGCTGCGTGGCCACCTTTGCTATGGCACACAATGTACTCATGAGAGTGATCTGCTGGTACCCTCCCATCACCCTCTGGTTTCACCCAAGGCAAAGGCCCTGTCCACCACCAACAATAGGAGGGTATTATACAGTGCACATGACAGAAAATGGAAGTCATGGGGGCCCAGGTAATGCTTGTTCAACACACTCCATAGCCATAATTCTGTAGAATGGGAGCATGACAGCTGAGCTTCCAGTGGCTAGGTTTTACATTTATTTCAAAGATGTCGTGCCTGTTATCCATTAAAGTATTTTAATTTTCAAATGCAAACGTAATCTACTCTCCCACAGATTCACTAGTGTGCATATCCCAACTTTGCGGAGATCTCATGCGTCCCAACATTTGCTCTTGAACTTGATATCCCTCCTTGCGATGTCTTTGCACATCAGTGGTCCTCTCTGTGGCACATCATAGGCAGGCATCTTGGAGCACGATCACAGCTTGTCACTTGCCTTTTAACACTGTCACTTCTTCAATCTACTACTGTTCCTCATACCAAACCCCACAGAATCAGGGATGGTGAAGGCGGCCACTTCCCTGACCCAAGTTTCCCCAGGCTAGAAATGGAGGGCTGGCGTTCCAAGAAGGAGGCATTGCATGAACGAGGCTGAGAGTGAACTTGGTTAATCCTTCACCTTTCCCCCTTCACAGAGATCCCAGGAGTGAGCAAGAGTGGGCTATCTAAATCCCGATTATTAGCTCACATGCAGTAGACATTGAGGGTGTGGTAATTGTTGTCATTTTTACAATATTGTGATATTAATCTTAGGGAATATTGAAGCTCCAAATAGCCCGTGACATAAAGAGACCTTTATGGCTCCGAAGGAGCTATTAGACTTTATTATCTCACGAATCTTCAGATTTAAAGAGTCCTCAAAGAGACCTTGACATAATTAAGCCTAATGAGTCCAAAGGAGTTACAATGGTCTATTGTGTCAATAATTTAGACACGACAGGTCTTTGTTGGAAGCAGGCTGTGGTACCTAGCAGAGCCTTGGGTTGTAAGGGTGATTCTGGCAGCTGAGTTAGTGAGCTGTGGATGTCCTGGATGTCCAAAAGGCATTTTACACATCAAGCGCAGTTTAAAACTTTCAAACAAAGCTGGTTTGCTATATGGACTCTGCTTTCTTACGGCATCTTAGGTACCAGACTAATTTGTTCATTTGGGCAGTGACTAACCACAGATCCCTGATGCTCAGGCATGTGCTCTGTCAGGTGTTGGGGCGCTTTGGCAAAATAAAACTCTGGCCCTGCCCTCAAGGAGTTCAAATCCTGAATGTCACAGGTAGCTCACAGACTAGAACACCTGTTGAAAGGTAGTGGTCTGAAGTACGGCTGTGAGATTGGATGATGTAGTTTTATTGTGAACATGCACACTCTCTTGGGTGCCGTCTACGGTTGCTCTTGGGTTATAGTGACAGAACGGAGTAGCTGTGACAGGACCATATGATCCACACAGCTGAGACTATTTACTACCGGAGTAATCCAGACTCTGCCAGTCGCTAACCTACAATTTCCAAGGTCTTGGGGCCTGTTCAAACTCCAGATATTCATGAATTGCCATTTCTAGATGCTATAACTCTGATGTCACTCAGAACACACTGTGTCAAATATTTTTTTTATCATTTTACGTTTATGTTATCTTAATACAAAACGAATGTCCCAGCCAATTCTCATAATCCACTCTCAGCACAGTGTTCACATCAAGTCCTGGTATACAGGTTTTTGTTGTAATTCCTGGAGTATTGAAGATGCTTGGTTAACGTTTGAGACATGGACCCTATATCTTCGCACAAGGATGTTGTGAGTTCAAAGGTAACTCCTCAAAACGGGTCACTCTGCTCACCTGGAGAACTAAATGCCTTCCATTCCCATAGGTGGGTACTAGGTGGTGACTCACCTTTATAAAATAGAATATCTCATATGGGAGGGGATGTTGCAAAAGGTGAAACATGGTGACATTGAGAAGCAACACTGCACTCTGGGATGGAAGAAGGGCCTGGGTAGGGAAACGTATGATCTTCATGTAGGGTGGAGTTTAGTGGGCAGTGTTGTGCCTGTGTGGGCTTCTTAGCTGTGACACACACTCTCTGACAATAGGCACTGGCTGATCTTGGCTGGAGGAGGAATTGGGTGAAGGCTCTAACTCTCAGAGCTGTCTTTTGGAAGTCTCTGTAAATCTGTCTACAGCTACATCTCCACATGCACAAGGGATGCAATCTGCAGTGAGAGCTTGGCGGAGATTTCAAAGGAAAGACCAGTTCATGGATGCTGGGACAAATATGGGCAGGGAGAGGAGGTAGCTGTGACTAACAGTACAGGTTAAAGTGGGCATAGGAAATGTTGGGAGCCCCTGGCATGAATAAAACATGCTGTAGCATCTACAGGAAGGTACCTGGCAGTGAGGGTAGAGAGCTGAAGAAGCAGGGCAGGGTCTTGAGAGGGAGAGTGGCCCGTGAGGAGTCCAGATGGTGAGATTACAGGCAATAACATATGGGCAATAACCTGAGCAGAGATGTATATGCAAGGATTATACAGGGTGAACCTCTCAGCCCAACTCAATCTAATGCATGCAGCCCAACCCACACAATAGCCACCCCTTCTGATGACCTTTGTACTAGAAGACTTCTGTTTGCTTTTCTGAGGTCTTATCATATAGTTCACTTAAAATATGGTTTCTCTTCTTTTTCCACACCATGCCCAACGTCTCCTCCACGCTTTTTGTCTCAAATCTGCCTGCAAGACCAAGTACCTACCTCACGACCAGTCCTCTTGTTGAAGGAATGAATAAGTGAACAAATGAGCGGGTCATTTTGTGGCCAACCATGAATCAATGCTGACTCATCTGTGCAGAGTTAAGAACCTGTCTGGCATCTCTGTGGGCTAGACATAGTAACTGAAATAAACAACGCAAGTTCGAGTTCACCTTGGGGAGACTTACGCCAATCCCCCTGAGTTCAGAAGGAGCCGGAGGGGAGGAAGGAAATAACTTCGGTGTTTGGGGCAAGTTTGGAATAGGTCAGGCTCCAGTGCAGCCGAGCATATCACCCATGCAGCGTCTCTGCTCTGCAGAGCCTTGCAGCCTGCAGTCATCGGCTGGAACATTGAGATGTCACTTCCCCCAGGCTCTCTAAGATCTCAACCAGCTCACAGGTCTGTGGCGTGCGTGGAACAGGGCTGGCATCACCCAACTTTCGGCTCTTTGAAAAGTTTGCTTAAGAAATGAGACATTACTTTTCACTTCCTAAAGAAGGTGTTATCTTTCAGGATTCAAAGAGGCCAGGAAAAAAATGTCCTCATTTTCCTTGGCAGACAGCGTGCTGTGTTCTCCAGGTTGCTGATCGGCAAATCGAAACAGAATTTTTTTTCCTCTTCTTTTCTTCGTGGCTTTTTGGTCTTTCTCCCAACGAAGCCCTCGGTGAGACTTTGCAAGATGAAAGGGACAGTGGTGGAACTCGCTGTCACAGAGCCATCAAGAGTTTAACATTTTGATTGCTCACTCTGCTGTGTCAGGAGCATGTGTGCTTAGAAAAACCTGTGAAATTTGGAGCGGATACATCTGAAAGGTGCGTCTGATTTTCCTGCGACACAAAAAGAGACATAGGATGTTCGTCCTCTGGCGTTCTTGAATGTCAATCTGGGGGGTATTTGCTGACCTTTCAGGGTACATATGGTACCGTGTTGGTACTGGAAAAAGAGGATGTGAAACTTATTTTCCTTTTCTTCTTTTTAATGCTCCAGCATTTCTCCCATCTGCCCTGTATCAGGAACACAAATTAATGTGTCCTTGTCAGGAATCCGTCGACAAAGGGTGGGTATTGAAAATGACTGACCTTAGAGGCCCTGGAAATGGATTATGCTAAAGCTGAGGATTTCCAGGGACAAAGGAAGAAAATCCAAGCACAGGCAGGATGTTCAAGTGAGCGGAGCCTACAAAGGCTGTGGTGAATCTCCCCATTAGGAGATCTCACCTCCTCTGGGAGATGTCACCTAGACTTTCCACAGCTTGACCCAAACAGAGGGTCCTGCAGTAGGCTGGCCATCAGTAGGCCATCATTAGAGGGCTCCAACTGGTGCTGATACCCCCAAGTTCCCTAAGGACCAACTCTCCAGGTCTGCTCACCTGCCACTGACTTTGTAATGCTGAGGAAGCCGTTAGAACTCAGGGAAAACCCAGTTTACCTTCATCTGTAAACCAGGAGTTGTTAACTCTCATGAGCTGATTGGCAGCTTTCAAAGAGACAAAGTGCTCTTCCTGGTGCCCAGAACATGATGCATAGGCTGTACCTCTTCCTAGCACTGCCCCACTCCTCCCGCATTTGGGGGCTAGAGATGGAGGTCACGCTGTCCCTGTGGCTCCCTAGGCAGGCAGAGCTGTCAAGGGAAAGGCTTCTCTGACAGCTTGAATCTAGTTTCCAAGAAAATTCACAATCGAGCAGATAAATTTTTACAACACACACTCACATACACACACACACACACACACAATGCAAATACTGCAAATACTAGCTTCCCATTCTTTTTTAAGGGACTTGGGAGTGCAGGTTTTTCTTGTCTCAATGGCTTGCTGTTTGGACAGTGTCTATTCTGCACACCAGTTTGGTGTCTAGTCTGAACATAACTTTATCCCCCCCACCCCTCATTTCAGCACACCCTCTCTTTGTGCAGGAGCCATTAAGGCCACCCATTCTTAAATTAGCTCCGAAAAAAAAAAAAGGAGTGCATTTTATAGTGAAGCCAGCAGTAATTGGACACTGTGACTATGAGTGGCCCTTGCGGTGTTTGGACGTGGGCCAAATGTACCTTCTGTCTGTCTCTGACACCGGCAGACAATAGCAGTATTATTTACGGTGCTGGCTCCATGCGATTCGGAAGGCCAGCTGTGAGAACAAAAGACTCGCTCACACTTGGCCCAGCCCTACTCTCAACCTGAGGCTCCAGCCATGTTTTGTAAATAATTTAGCCCGCCATCCCAAAGGATGGCTCCTCTTTGCTTTTGCACTGACCATGGCTGGAAAGTAAAGACAGGACTCTTCTCCGGCTCCTTGGAGATAATGGGGTGTGAGGAGGAATGGCCAACACCGCTTCCTTCATTCCTGTGTCTCGGGCTGTACAATCACTCTCATACATCAGCTATGGACCAGCAAGCAGGAGGGCAGCCGAAACAGAGCCTGGGAAAACATGGGCAAGGCTTGTCCCTGTGGGAAGTCCTCTTTCCCAGGATGCCATTCGGAGTTTTGTCTACAGAACACGCAGCTTCCCAGGCAACCATCACAGGTTACCCCGCTTGCACATGGCTGTATAACCCTGATCATCACATGGACTGAGCGTCTAAAATCCAAACAAGCAGATCTCACTGGCTACAACTGCCCAGTTGCTGACCTACTAGCATGCATCAAGCCAGAATCAGTTCACACGCCATCCATGTTTGATGAGAGGATCCCATGCTCCCTGGCCCAGACCTGGATCTGTGAAGCCATGGCTTCAACTCCCCAACAGAGGAGCCTTCCTACCATCTAGCCAATCTGTCCTCGGCAATTTGGGGCCCCTTGTCACCTTTCCCCACATTGCACCATGCTGTCTCACCTGTTGCTAGGACTGCCAGCTCCTGGCCCTCTGCCCAGACAGTGGAGCTGGCCTCTCTTATGTCTGCAGATCTGATGTCTGCTGTTCCTCTTCCCAAATGGACATAGGGGCTTCCCTAGGCAGGCTCAGCCTGGGTGTCTCCCTGCACAGCACCTGTCTCCAGCTGCTTGGCCAACACCTGGCAAATGGAACAGGAATCTGGGGTCCTGACCAGGAATGAGCATCCGGTTGCGTCCAACAGCTCCTAGAGATTCTACCAGGCACTTTTCCCTGGGCAGGCACACTGGGGATTTAGAACGGTTCACAGACAAACAGTTTGCAAGCATCTACCTCCCTTTTCATCATTTTTTTTTCTCATACTCTGTGCAGAGGCCAGGCAAGTCTGCCACTCACATTCCAAGTTCAAGGAGCTTTCACAGATATTCACTGAAGAAAAGGTGAAGTCAAGCCCTTGGGTTTCAGTTCTGTAGCCCATGGTTATTCAGTGTACCTGAGCCAGGAGCTGAGGGGATCAGACTTTGGGACTAGGGACATGCTGAGTCAGCACCATACTTGCCTTACAAGCACGAGGCCACGTGTTCATCTCTAGAACCCATGAAGAAAAGAATCCAAGGTGTAGGAATATGTGTGTGAAGACAGGTCAATCCCTGGGGCTGCTGGTCATCCAGCTTAGGTTTCTTGATAAAGTCCAGAGCATTGAGAGACTCTGTCCCCAACCAAAGAGTGACCAGTGCCATAGGAATGGTACCTGAGGTTATCCTATGGCCTCTGTGTACACACACACGAACACAAGAACACCATTCACTTTGGGATAAAAGGGCCTGATACCAGCAGCACTGATCCTTCGGGTTTCACTCTTGTGGCTGGTGATCTCCAAGGAGATTGCTGCATCCATCAAGCTGTGCTGTCTAGGATGACAGAGCCTTGCTTATTTCTCACCTACCATTGCACAGGAAGAACCCGACACAGACTTCTCTGTATGTCAGGCGTTGAATGAGGGTGTGGGCAGGTGGACAGAGGGATGGATGAGAATATGTGCGTGAGGGAAGGGAGGAATGGCGTCCTACGCCGTCTGTGCTGTATGCCGCCAAGTGTATTCTTGCCTGTGATCGACACTGGAACCCTGTCTTTCTGTCCCTCTGCTAACCCATACTATTTGTTACATACTCCTGGGAACTGAGAGACGACCCCGTCCCATTGTAGATGGGGTCTCCCATCCCTTAAGCTCACCTGTCACCTCTGTGCCATCCTGTAATGAAACCAGCAAAATTCTCTTTATCTCACTGAAGGACAGGTCTGTCCCCTACTTCCTTCAGGGTATCTCCTCTGAGCCTAGTGTATGTATATTGGCCAGGGCTATGGGCTTTTTTCATGACCTCTTCTTGCCTTTACCCATCATCTCCCACACCGAATTCTTCTCCCTGGGACTTACAGTGTGAGCAACAAATTCGGTCTCATCCTCAACTCTTTCCAAATTCTCGGGACCAGATCAGGCAGTAGGAATCCTATTTGCTTTAGTCTTAGACCGAGAACTCTGAGTCTTGCTCAAGGCTTGTGAAACCTTCTTACATTCCGTGCCCACCAAGCCACTCTCTTTATTCATCATAACATGAGTCTTTTTTTTTTTCCCTCAGAGTTTGGCCTGGAAGAATTTTGACATTTTGAGTGTGGCGATGGCGACCATTGGAATGCCACCACACCTACCCAGAGATAAAGCCAATTTCCTCCTAGTTCAGCGCTCGCAAATAGCAAAGTTAATTAATCCTCTGTAAACAAACTTTTGCAAACTGCAGCTCAATACAGCAGTGCCCAGGAAATGCTTCCAAATGTGCTCTGAGATTTGAGGAGAAGGGACCAGGGAGAAGTGAATTTGGGTCCATTAATGATGAATGGAGGTTCGGAGGTTGGGAAGGGGGTACTGCAAGTTGATGTTTGGGTGAGGGGTGTCCAGTCAGAAGGAGGCACTGAGCTCCAGCAGTCTACGGGGCAGCGGGGAGACAAGAGTTCACGGCAATCTAGTCTGTGTTCTGTGAGTGGCTGCTAGAGAGGAGACTGAAGGCGAGATATAGATTATGTCCGCCTGATTTCCCCATACCATATGCATGGATTAAAATGATACTCTGCCTCCCCAGTCAGAAAACCAATACTACACTCCAATTAAAACTGCTTAAGAAGCTTAAAAAGACAGAAATGTTAGCTATTCTGGTTTGATCAGAATTTGCTATATGCGTAAATAAAATGGCCATACTGCATCCCATAGATCTCTATAAACAAAATTCAAAATCTTGTGTATGTGCTTGTGTGTGTGCGTGTGTGGTGTATGGATGTGTGTTAGCATCTGGCTATGTGAGTCAGTTCATGGGGGTGTGAAGGGCAGAGGTCTATGTTAGTTGTGTGAGTCTATCACTCTCCACTCCGTTATGTGAGACAGGATCTCTGGAGCTCACTGATTGGCTGGACTGGTTGGCCGTGTGTCACAGGGGTCCTCCCGTTGCTGCTTCCCCTGCACTGGGATCGGGTGTGTACCACCACACCCGGATTTTCACATGAGTTCTGGGGATCCCAACTCAGATTCTTATGCATTCACATTAAGCACTTTTCATTAAAATTATATACACACATGCACATAATCACATACATAATATATACAAGTACATACATACATACAAATTTATGTATGCATTGACTGTTTTCTCATAAAGCTCCCCTACAGATCTGGAGGTCTCCATATCTACTGAGACTGGCAAGCCAGCAAACACTCTCGGAGCACGTATTTCCAAATAAAAAAGTACCTTTAAATCACTACTATAGACATTCTGTTAGATTCAGAAAGAATGCACGTTGTGGTCAGCTGTCTGCAAGTAGCCCCACAGGGTGTCTCCCTACTCCCTCTTCCCCTCCTGTCCCTAGCAATATCACTGGGTCATTGAAGAATGCTAACTTTCAGGGACCCCCTAACCTAGCACACACCCTCTGCTTAGTAATAGCATTAGGTAGGAGGCTTGAGTAGCCATTTTCAGCTCCGTCTCTGTCTTGATGGACTATCATGGACCACTGACTCACATCCTCCTTCCTCTAGAATGAGCTTGTGTGCGCCCAGCTAACAAAATAATTACTTCAGGGCAAAAGCAGCATTAAGTTACAAACCTGGTTCCTGCGGCCTCTGTCAGGCTGGCATTCTTTTGTCAAGTCCAGATTTTTTTTTAAAAAAAAAAATTACAGCGACTCTGGCAGATTCCAGTGACAGTTCCCGCCGACCTGGAGCCATGCACAGGGGCTGGCACTGTTGGAATGGAAATGTCCAGTGGGGTGTGTGGCTTCAGACACAATGGGGACTTTCAGAAGCTGGCCAGAGCTCAATTGCACTCTGCCCTGCCGTCCTCGCGGCTCGTCAGTGACAAACACAGTTCCTCCCAAAGACCCTCAGAGTGAGGCCGTTAATGGTATGAAAGTGGAGTTGTGCCAAGGGAACTGCTTTCATTCTGGTGGGTGCCAGAGACAGGAGGGGACTTTGCACATGACATGTATTTCGTTGGCAAGATGTCTTTTCACTTTTTGAAACTCCTTAGGTGTCCCCCTCCCCCAGGGAGCACCTTAATACCTGTGACACTCTGTTCAAGGCTGCAGGATCTGGGGGCTCATTTGTTTCCAGGGGTTGTCCAGCCCATACATACTATCAAAAGCAGCTTGCTGATGTCATGAAGCAAGTCAGGAGATGGGATATAATAAGGGACAGGTAGTTCTTAGCTTCCCGAGGTCCAGCTCCTGGCCAGATGTTGACTCTCATGCATGTTTTACTTTAATGTTGTCTCAGCAAGTTTGGGTTCTGGTTGTCTTAGCTTGCTTTCTGACCCAAATACCCACAATAATCCTGTGGCATGGAGAGGTTTGATATTCTCATCCTATACGCGAGGTATTTAATTCATGACTTAGTTACGTTCAATAATACATTCGTGTAGCATGCAGACAGCATGTCTAGCATGTGCTTCAAGCAGCTGTACGGCACGAGTCCTCACGTTGGTTTATTTTCCCACCGATTCTGTAACGTGCCCAGTCCTTGTATCTGACCCTTTTCCTGTGTCTGTCAGTGCTTGCCTCACAGTCACACCCATGCTTCACCCTGGGGGCTCAGCCAGAGCAATGCTGGGAGCAAACACTGGTGCCTTTTCTTTTTCTTGTATATTGGTCAAAGGTCCCTTTGTGTGCGCTATGTCTGTGTGTACATGTCTGCCTGTGTGGGGGCGTGCATGTACACTGCCCGTGCTTGCAGAGCCCAGAGGACAGCCTCGGGGCTGTTCTTCGGGTGTCACCCACCTTCTGTTTTATTTCAGTTTGTTTGGAGACAGGGGCTATTATCGGCCTGGGGCTTGCTGATTTGGCTAAGTCGGGTAGCCAGTAACTCCAATCGTCAGGGATTTCCCTTCGTGCTGGGATCACAAGCTTAAGCCGCATGCCTGTCTATCTGGGGGTTCTGGGGATCGATCTCAGGTCCACATTCCCATGCAGCAAGTTCTGTACTGACCGGGCCAGCCCCAGACCTCTTCTATGCCTCCACTCCTATCTGGAGCCCCACTGTGGAAAGCCCTGTGGTGATGAGCCGCTCCCCGGTCCTGTCGAGCACTGGCCCCAATACAACATTGTGGAGCCCACTTCCTCTATGAGCCACTTAATTATCTTTTATATATACAACACTCCTCACTGAATAAAATATTCAGGCACCTCATTTGACGGGGGAAGCAAACAGCAATATGTAACATTTCATTTGTTTTTTCATTAAATCGGGCATGACCGTTGTTGGCGCCGGGAGATTGCGACCGCAGGTCTGCCACTCTGCCGCAGCCCATCTATCCACAGTCAGCCCGCGCTCCAAGGAAGTGTCTTATTTTCTCTCTATTTATGTTCGTCAAATAAATTCATCTTTTATTTCATTGAGCTGAATGTTTCCATCTGTGGGACTGCTTCTGGGACCCACCGGTCTTATTTATTTATTTTTATTTTATTATTGACTTTTCCCTTTTTCTTGCTCTTGGCTTCTCATTGAAATGTATTTTCGATTTCAGACATGCAGGCAGAGGAGTAATTAAAATATCCCTGGACCTCGGATACTGGGAAATGGGGAAATATTATGTGTACACTCCTAACCAGGTACATATAACCAAATGAGGAGCGGGTGGGGCAGCGGGTCTGAGTCAGGCCTCCAGGCTGCTCATCCCCGCCCCCCACCTTAGGAATCAGAGGTCATCAGGAAGGAGTTTGTGAGCCCCAGTCTGGGCATGTATCTAGAAACAGTTGGGTTCTGACTTTCTCCAGCGAAGGAGGTAGAATAAACCTTGCTAAAAATGATGCTTTTGGCACGTAGCTGCCAGTTGCGTGTGTCTATTTATTAATTAGCATTTTGGTGTATAAAAGGCCTGATTCATTAAGAACGTGTTACACACTCACTCTGCACCCTGACCATGAGGAGATGACAGGCAGTCTCTTGTCAGTTCCTCAATCATACTGAGATGTGGCGAGTGAAAGAGGTGTTTTTGCTATTGTTGCTGTTGACTGGGGAGTTTCCTAATGACATGTGCAAAAAGGTCCAAGTCTTAAGTGTAAATTCCCACAATGACATACATCCTGACACACCCGTTGTCACTCACACTGTGTTCAAGCTCCGAAAACATCTTTGTACGTGAAATCCTTCACAGTCAAATTCTACAGCGTCCTCCTCTCCATCGACCGCCACTTGGATTTCTCTCCCCATTCATTGGTCACCTTTCTGGGTGGTGAATCTTGAATGAATGGAGCGGCTGATATTCATCTGCTCCTTCATGCCAGGATTTCTTCACTCTGCCCAATCATTTGAAGATTGATTATCCTGTGTGCCAATACTTCATCTATTCATTGCTGAATCTCAGTTTGTTCCTCCAGGGTCTATAGATTTGTCTATAGCATCTTTTGACAGGTATTTCCCACACTGGTTACTTCTGGGCGATAGTGAACAAATAGAAGCACAAGATATGCTGTCAGCTTCTGCTGGGTAAATGCCTTGGACTAGCGCTGCTAGGTTACTGGGTAGTGCCCAATTGAATGCTGCGTCTGCCCAACATTTGTGGAGTAACACTCTAATCCCTACCGTGATGGCGTCTGTATGTGAAGGTCATCAGGTTAAGAGAGCCGAAACCTCAAGGGTAGGATTAGGGAGCTGTCACAGTTAGCTTCAGCTGTCAACATGTCACAGTCCAGAGGCATCTCAGGGAGTTTCAACTCGGGGAACCGCTTCAATCAGATTGGCCGGTGGCCATGGCGGTGGGGCAATTTCTTGATTGTCGATGGATATGGGAGGGCCTGGCCCATTGCAGGCAGTGCCACCCCTGGGCATGTGGTCCTAGGTGTATCTGAAAGCAAACCTTGCAAACCATGTGAAGCAAGCCTGTAAGGAGCCCTTGACCTCCTGCCCCGACCTCCCTTCACCATGAGAAGATGTAAACGGAAATAAACCCTTTCTGCCCCAATTTGCCTTTGGCCGTGGTGTTTATCACGGCAGCTAAGAAGAAAAATGGGATACGGTTTAATGAGAAAAGACATGAGACGGATAGTCGCTTTCCCTTCTCCATGTGGGAATTCAGCAATAATTTATCAGCCAACTGTAAGCCAAAAAGTGACCCTCCCTAGGCAGAATGTATTGGCCTCTTCGTCTTAGACTTCCCGACCTCCATAACTGTCAGAAAGAAGCATTGTTTACCCCGCCCAGTTTGTGATAAGGCATACTAGTGTCCCATCTTACCCAACTTGACTCATTGATAAGAATTGACAGACAACTTTCCAAAGCCATGTATTGCTCTACACTCCCACCAGCAGTATATGAGCAATCTGTTTGCTCAATATCCTCTCCAATGCACATTGTCGATTATCCAAAACTCTATTATTCTAATGGGCATGTCATGGTTCCTGGCCATGGCTATGGGTTGTATTTTGAGGACTCCTAATACTGAATGTTAAAGTGTCTATTGGCTGTTCCCCCATTCTTTTATTGATGAAATGTGTATTTAAATCTCTTGCCTATAGATAGTTGGCTGTAGAATTTCTTTATACGCTGGTGTAATTAGTACCTAAGGATGTTAATAGATCGCTCTCAAATACAGATAATGAAGTTGGATGAGCCATGCACAGTTTGGTCCTCATTTCCTTACTGGTATTTTTTGATAAGCAGGAGGAAAAATTTTGCTGAGGTCTAAGTTTCCATGCTTTTGAGGTTTCTTTATTCTTTTTTTTTATTTTATTGACACATGATAACTGTACATATCTACACAACAGGATCTCAACCATATTTGAAACATAAGAAGACTTCTTGCTTACTATGCTATGGTTTGAATCTGAGAAGTCCCCCCTTGAGGGTCAAGTGCTGAAGGCTTGGTTCCCAATGGTGGTGCTGTTTTGAGAGGTGATAGGCTGAGCTGGTGTAGGGGAGCCCCCAGAGCATTCCTTAAAGACTGTACCTGGTCCTGAATGCTCTTCCTCCAGCCTTCACGGGCCCTGATCTACTTCCTGGTTGCTATGAAATGACCTACTCTATTTCACCACACCCATCTGATATAATGTCCTGTCTCACCCCCAGACACACAGCGATGAAGTCAGTCTTCCTCTTGGCTGTGTGTCACACTGACCAAGCCTCTCTAATACTGCATAGGAGACGAGGGAACAGGAAGTGACAGTGCAATGGGCCAGCTTTGTTGTTTTCCAGTTACTCCTATTCGTATTACAACCGTCTATGCCACAATCGTAGCGTTATTTTCCTCTCCTTCAAACTGTGCGATTGTTACTACTTGTATGTATTGTAAGATGGGATTCCTCTTGTCCATGATTTACACGTGATGGAGTAGCTGAAATTCATTCTGACTTGTTTTGTTACAGATACTAATTGCTCATAGACCATTGGTGAACATTCCTTCAAACAGCAGATAGACTGAATGTCTGACTCCTTTTATTTTTAAAAGTGGTAAGAAAACTGAGCTACAAATGCATGCAGCTAGTTGAAGATCACACAGGCGACGAGAAGCAGACACTAGACTTCCTTTTGCTTTGAGGCCCATTCATCACGCTGCAAAGGAGAACGGCAAAGAGAGATGTTTCCCATTGGACTTCAGCGCTCAGGACTCAGAGGTGGTCGCAGTGTTGACAGCTGTCTGGTGACCAGTTGGTTAAGCTGACATGCTGCAGTGTGATTTATCTGGTTTGAGTTTCCAGGTTCTGTCGACAGAATC